TTATATTTCAGCTGTATTCCAAAATATATCAGCGCTCTAAACAGTTAATTATATCTTAGCTCTGCTCCGTCACTCAAGCGCTGCTCGTCTTTCGTCTTATACGAGCAGCTAACACCCAGTTATCACTGGCCTCTCACTTACCACTCGGCGAGTGGGTATTTTGCTACAGCTGCCGTCTTGATAAGCACTATCAATGGCTTTTTGTTTACATATTTTGTTTCCGTTTCCCCCCACACACAGACACACACAGACACACACTCAAACACTCTCATGCACACACATACACTTGCACAAATTGAACTGTTAACGGAAATTATAAGAGCCTACTGTTCCCACTATAGCTGAGTGCCTCTACATATAACAGTTTCGTGCTGTGCTAATGCTCTCACACACAGCGAGTCGGCGCTCTGTTTGAATGTGGGAAACTCAACACACAGCTGACGGCTGGCAAAGTCAAGGAGAAACCCACCACAAATGCAGAACTGAAGCTGCAGCCAAGGCAGCGCTTGGGCCGCGGACGGCAAAGAAATCCGCTAGCCGAGCACAAACACTGCAGGCCAAAAATATTGATTCAATACGATTTGGTTGTTGAGTTGAGGTGGGGTTGGGATTGTGATTGGGTTTTGGCTGTCTTGGCGTGGTTTGCCTTGGCTTTTGGTTACCTTCCCCCCCGCAAGGCTGCTGTATGTATGTATATATGTATATATTGCTTTATAAACAGCGTCTGGCTGCGCCTGCCCTCTGCGGTTGCCTTTTAAAAAAATTTTTGCTGTTGTTGTTGCCTTCGATACTCAGCGACAGCGACAACAAACGCAAATAACCAATGAAGCAGATAGTAATGTTTATTGTTATTCTTGGCAGTTGGCCCTGCGGCCATTCAAATCAATTCGTTGGCCGCGCCGCAGCTTCTGTCTTATCCTTATTTAAATTTCATTTCTTGCTTTTTCTTTTTTTTTTTTTTTAAGCCAGGCCAAGCATTGCATATTATTAATGTTAAATAAGCGATGCGGACATAGCTGACTCCCACTCGCTACCACTCTCCCCCCCTCTCTCTCTCTCTCTCTATAGCTCCTTGGGTAATCAGAGTAGTTGCGGCGGCATTAAGTATACGCACTGTGCTGCGCGCTGCCTTTGCCTGGCTGCATATTTGAGGCGAATTAAAACTATTTAAGTTTTTAATGCCCCAACAGCAATGATCTTGTGCATGGCATATAAATTACGCGCCACACCATGCCACGCCCACTCCTCTCGGCAGCCAAATCGCAACACAACTTCAAAGGCCTCGCACGTCGTTGTCAACGACGACGACGACGACAGCGACAAGGCTGAGGATAAGAACGTGCAGCGTGAAGGCGTGCGGACGCGGGGGCGTGGCTGTATCGGTCGGAAAAGACGTTGAGCACTTTGCCAAAGTTTTTAGCTTGGCTCGTTGGCAATTTTTTACTTTGTTGCTTTATAGGGATTTATGTTTAATCGGCCAAAGGTTGCGCGCACACACGCAGCTCTGTTAAAAGCTCTTTTGTTTTAGCCAAAGAGAATGAGAGAGAGAGAGAGAAAGCGAAAGTGTGTATGTGAGAGAGAGAGGGAGAGTGTGAGGCAGGGCGAGTGCGGTATGTTTGCAATGCTAACGTGGCTGAGAAATGATTTTGGCCCTTGCATATCTCGACGCAACTGTGATATGTTGATAAACATTTGCCAGACTTAAATGGATTGCCCATAGCCAGCGCCTCAGCACTCCAGCCCTGCAGCCGGCTAGCTCGTCAGCGTGCAGTCCTCGCCCGACTCACGTATGCCGAGGTCCTTGGCC